GATCGAGCCCAGTCCTCCAAAATGGCGACCGCGCCGATCCGGGGAAAACAGAAACCTTTTTTTTTTTTTTTTTAAAGGGAACTCCTTAGGGAGAAAGAAATCCGGAAAGTAACTAGTTTATTCAACTAAGGAAGGTAGATAACGGAGGCTTTGAGTAAGGTGAATTAGGAGTTAACCAAAAATAAATAGACAGAAAAACAAAACCAGGAAAAAAGGTGGGGGGAGGGGGAGGAGGATAATGGCGATCGCCACGCTGCACAAGGCAGCGTTTTAACGATCAGCCAGCTGTCTCAGTGCTTGCCTGAGGAGAAAGACAGAAAAACCAAGCAGCTCTGTGCCAGGCTAAATTTCCTCCCCCCAGGAATAGTAAAGTCCACGGATGGATTCTAACTACCTTAATCTGAAATCTAATCAGGAGCCAAATTCCACGTCTGCTTCAGGGCTGAGACCAAAAGAAACTGGGGCATGCTCAGACCCTGAAGGGGCGTGGCGACTTTGATTGTTTGGTCTGATTGGGCTAGAGGACAATTAACACCCACACGTGGAGTCTACATTCCTCCATTTGCTGGAGAATGTATTTTAAGTTTCTGTTTTTCTTTCTGTAACATAAGGTAATACTAATAGCAGTGTTGAAGCCAGGGAAGTTGAATCATGTCAATTTCTGTTTTTAAAATGTACATTTAATAAAATTTGTAAAAAAAAAGAAAAGAAAAAAAAGAAAACCATGTCAGCAGTGTCATCTGCCATATGCATTGGACAATGATACATTGAAACAGCTACATACTTGCTATGCCCAACATTAAGTCTTGAGATGTTCCTGTCCAGTGGGCTCTCTCTGTATGTGTGTGTGTGTGTGTGTTTGTGTATTGAAGTCCCTCAGAACAGCTATCAAAGAATCCTTAGCATTAAACCTGAGACTTAAACAAGATGACTAATGACCAGTGGACAGGTAAATTAAACTGTCCCCTTGATTTATCTGGTTGATTTGAATCCTCTACTGTGCTCTCTACTTTGCCAGGTTAGGGCCAGGACAACATCACTCACTTGGTAGCTGAATAAGATAGGCTGCTGTCAAGATGTTCAGTCATTGGCTTCTGGTTTGCGATCGCGGCGCTGGCGGACATGCAGGGAGAGCGCTTTCTCCGCCATCCAGTTTTCCTTTGTCGGAAGACCCTGAAAAGGATCGAAAGTTGCCCTGGAGGGGCGACCACCGTGAGGAGGACCCTCGACAGATCGCAGAAGGGTGGCAGCCCTTCCATTTGATCCGAGGCAGCTTCTTTGGACCGACGAAGAAAAGATTGGCCATTAACATGGCCGATCACTAAGCCGTACCAGCCGAAAGCCCAAAGTACTACCAAGCACAACGAAAGCACTGCGGAGGAATTGGGTGAGACCTTACCTTACCTTTCTTGTAACCCAACTATCTTCCTGTAAAAGCCTTTGGAAATTTCTTCTCCCCTTTTAATTTGGTGGCTTCTGCCTATCCTGGGAATATAAAGCTTTGAAAAAGAAAAAAGAACAACTAAACTAAACAACTAAATAACTGGACTTGCACCTTTTGGATATTTGGGGTCCCTAAAAGTTCCTATTTCTACGGGGACCTATTACCTTATCTATCTGCTAAGTTAAAAAAAAAAGAACATTTTTTTTAAACTGGATAAAAGCCTAACTTGAGTTTGGAAAAAGACTTTACATGCCACCAGGGACATCTTGTGGCGAAACTGGGTATAGCAAGTGAATTTCTTTTTGACTGGGAGACCTGTGAGACTAAGATTTGTCCTTGGCACTATCAAAAAAGGATAAGAATTTGAAACAGCTGGGTGGTGAAAACAATTCTTTATAGTGGAGGTGGACGTTTATTGACTTTTATCAAAAATAGCCTCCACTAAAGGACTATCTGTAAACACCATAGAAATGGAGGAATACTACCCACAACTTAACTACAAACTTATACTTGAAAAAATCCTTCAGACTACTGAGCTAATGAATTCCAGACTGAAAGATAAAGGCGTCACCTTAAAGTTACAAAATGCAGCCCAGATTTCAAATGATGAACTTGCAATCCAGAATGCAACAGAAGAGGAAGAAATTAACATCCAAGTGGACTTTAAAGAATACCAGGTACAATCTACTGAGAACCCTAATAGCCAAACCTTGATTTCATCTAAAAAAATCTGCAATTCAAAAAGCAACAGAAACTGAAGAAAGCAATACTAAGATGGAAGGTGCTGAAGACCAACATGTACAGCACATTGAGAACCTAGACAACCCAGACAACCAAACAACAATTACAACATTGAACATGACTTTTTACTTAAACCAGCTGAAACCGGAAGAAGACCAGACTGAACTGATGACAAATATACTAAGCCAAACATGGAGATTTGAATTATTAGGCCAACAATCCAATGATTATGAAGGGACCAGCTCCCTTGAAAAATTGATAACTGGATGGTTTCCCTTGATTCAAATAACATGTGTAGGAATGAAGGGAGATCCACCTGAGGATTTAAAGGCTCTACTATGGAAGCCTGCTTGGCACAAAAAGAAAGCTAGAGTTAGACTTAAAAATGGGTTTTTTTTATGTGACCTATAATGGAAGAGCCTAAAATCTCATTTAATGGGCTAAGGAGATTTTAAAAGATACTGATTTAATATTTAGGATTTAGACTTATAAGGGAAATAAAAAATAGTCACTAGAATAATAGTTTTGAATTATAATAGAGAAGTTGGATTGAGACAATAAAGGTTATTTTATTAGTAAGTGATGAGGTACTAGGATGAGAAATAGAATATGTTTGTGAAATAAAGTAAGAATTTATTTGAGTAAATAATAAGTGTATTTTAGATATGACAACTATTTTGTAATGAACTAAGGGAACTTTGGGTTACCCAAAATCTAAATACTATGGATATTAAGCTAACTGGAATACTGTGATTGAAATTAGGTAAAATTTAAAAATAGGACATGGATACATATAAGTTAAAATATATTGATAAATGTCTTAACCGACTGAGTTATAATTAGCAATGTATTAATTTGAATGTGATATAATAACCAAGGGAAATAGAGAGGAAATTTTTGATGATGTAACCTGACATGTATGAAAGAGCTTGTTATTGGATTATGGATTACCCAATCACCATGTTGCTTCCTTAATACTTGGATTTTTGTAAAATTGAAAAATTAATAAAACTTGTTTAAAAAAAAATTCAGTCATTGATGAGGAGCAAGAAGCCACTATAGATAACTTTAATGAGGCAGCTGTTGCATGTGAGATACCCCCTTAATGCAACCTCTCATTTGCAGTTGGGATGAGAGAAGAGATAGCAATAAACACCAGACTTTGCTTCCTCTAGACCAGGGCTTTTCAACCTTTTCACCCATTGCACCACTTTTAGGATATGGCAATATCCAAGTACCACCAGTCACCTAGCAAGGTGTCAAAAACTTGATGACCAAAAAAAAAGAAAGAAAAAAAGTGATAAAGTACAGGTAGTCCCCGACTTACAACAGTTCGCTTAGTGACTGTTCAAAGTTATAGTAGCACTGAAAAAAGTGCCCCCCAAGCCACAGCCGAGCAACACACCTGCCTGCGGCACTCTTCCTCCTGTCCAAGGTTTTCATTGTTGTGAGCATTTCTGTTGAGGATTGGCAGCAGGGGTGGGGTGGGGGGTGTTTGGATTTTATTCCCCCCGTCTGCTGGGTGGTTGCAGTAGGTTTTGGTCACATCACATGACCCTGGGACATTGTGACCGTCATAAATATGAATCAGTTGCCAAGCATCTGAATGTAAATCACAAGACCCTGGAGATGCTGCAACATTCCAGCTGATCGGCGCTTCTTCTGAGCTCAGCAGAAGCGCCAGGATCAGCGCCGAGCTCCATCTGGAGCCTGGCGTTGACCCTGGCACTTCCGCTGAGCCCTGACAGTCCCGAAGAAGCGCCGATCCTGGCGCTTCCGCTGAGCCCTGACAGCCCTGCAGCTCCAGCCATCTCTTGCTCAGGCTTGTGCGGTGCTGCCACTGGTTCAGCTCATTCCCCTCCCCCGCTACCACTTTTCTAGGATGGTCGCGTACCACCTGCCAGGTGCCAATGTCCCACAGGTTGTACCCGTATCACTGGTTGAAAAGCCCTGCTCTAGGAGTTCCTTTATGTGATAAAGATTCATAATTATGGGCTATCTCTCATTGAGATGCCACTGGTAAAAAAAATATAGTATTAAATAAAAACACGTTTATTTGCCAGATATTTTATATTACTTGATTGAATTGTTTGTGGCTTTTTTATTTAAAAGTTGATTTTCTACCATTGTGCTCTGGTATACTTAAGACCAAAATGTACATGGAATGGTACAATGCAAACATTCTGATGATTCTTCTGACTTAAATTTGGAAGTGAGGCTTTTAGCAGTGGCAAAAAACATCATCATGAATCAAGCTATTTTTATTATAGCAATACTTTTAATAAATGTATTTCTAAAATATAAAACCTACAAGACATACTCATTCTTAGTTGTGAGCTGCTTTCACCAATTGGATTGTGTCTTTAGACATAAACCAAACTTGAATCTTAATCAATCAAAAAAAGAAAAAGAATGAAAAAAAAGCTCCAGAGCTTGAAAACAACAAATTATATCATGGTCTTTGAACTAGATGTATGGAAGCTGCACTTCTGAGAATACTACTAAATATATTAGAGCATAAGTAGGCCAATCTAACTGTGTCCAGGTATTTCAGATTTCAGTATTCATCGACATAGCCAGCATAGTCGATAGTTTGAAGGATCAGTAGCCCCCAAAATCAGAATAGTATTAGATAGTATTACCTGTTTTAGAGACTGAAACAAGGGTTGAAGAAGATGCAAACTTTATAAATAATATAATTTAGAATTTTAAATCAACAATGGAAGTCAAGCTTTAAAACAGAATCTCAGTCATCACAAAAAAAAAATCAGTAAAAAAACCTTCTATGAAGTTCATGGTAAGGCACAATACCTACACTTCAATCCAGTATCACACTCGAAAGCATGGATGGTTTCTAGAACTTCTTTGACTACTTCCTTGAGATGGGTATCCTCCCTCAGACTCCTGAAACAAGCCAAAAAATGTTAGATGGAGCTACCAGTCAATATGCTATAATAACTTATTCTGTAAGCTTTAAGTATTTGCAACTCTTTTACATAAATGCCCCCATTGCACAGATTGGTGTTAGCAGTTGAATAGTGAGCACCCTCATCCTTCTGAGAATGGCCATGCTCAATTCAGCATTTCATCCATTGGTCTTCCTAACAAGTGAAATATATTTTGTGCCAGAAAGAATTCACCTTTTAGTGACTTTGGCATTGCAAAGTGGACACTGTGTTACACCTTTCTTCAGTTTAAGCAGTTTAAAAATACAGGACCTAAAAAAAAAGAGAAAAACAGCATGTTTAGTCTCTCACTGACCCTTCCCCCCCCAAAAAAAAGGTTACCCTGGGAAAAAATATTAATCTTCCTCCTGGCACATTCGCATATTTGTAAGTATAAACTATTTCCCTTTTCTATGCTTCTATTTCAGAGTTTTATATCAACAAATCTTCAAACAGCAGGAGCTTATGTTTTTAAAATGTTTACTCCTCCACAGTCTCTCCTTCAGGAACAAAAGAATAGAATACTATTATTAGCTCCTGTTATTTTTACTGAAAGCATTCATTGTAATTATGGGTATAGCATAAACATAACCAGTGAAAAATCATTGGTAATAAATGAGAACTTTTTCAATTCTGTAATGGAAATAAGCCAGCTTACTAAAGTCAGATCATCCCTCCTGGTCTCTCCTTTCTTTTCTTTATTTTTGGTAAAAGTTTTTATTGAATTTTATAGGGTTAGGGATAGAATAGGATTGGGATAGGGATTAAGGCTTAGGGTGGGGTTAGGATCAGGATTGGTGGGCGGACGAGGTTGGGATCAACATTGGAGTTATCCCCCAATAACATTTTCAATCTTCAGCAAACAGATTATTGTCCGGGTACATATGTTCAATTAACAATAGTTGATATAGTGATAAATAATTGTAGTAAATGTAATAAACAATAATCACAAACAGTATCAGTTAGTCAATGCATATCATTTTTCTTACTAATATATATTCAAAATAACATATCACATTCATTTCTCACTAGTTCGATTTCCTAACCATTGGTAAAAATTATCCCATGTTCTAAAGTAAACTGAATCTTCTTTCTCTTTAATCTCTAAGGTTGACTCAGCCTTCCATCCTTCTGAGGTTGGTAAAATGAAGATCCAAATTGTTGACTCTGTAAATTGCTTAGAGAGAGCTGTAAAGCACTGTGAAGTGGTATGTAAGTCTAAGTGCTATTGCTATTGAAACCTCTAAGAATTAACACTGACATTCTAACATCAACCTTTCACAGTCATATGTCCTCCAGATACATGAGGCTATAACATTCATTACCATCAATTAATCAGCCGATATATTCAAGCTTTGATAATCTAAAGTGGAGGCTTACCTGCAAAAGTTATGAGCACAGTTTGTTGAGATTGGCTCTTTTATCACCTCCAGACTGAAAGAAATAAATAAAACATCAAAGCTATGCATTTCATACAAAGTATCTTCAATATATTGTAATTCTAGGAATTAATGCTAGTGAAGTAGCCATTCTAGCATGTTTTAGTAATTATACACACTCTAATCTTGCAGTAAAGTATAATAGATTTATTCTGATATAAACTTTTGTAAAATAAAACTCATTTTTAAGATATGAAAAGTGTGCTTCAGTGGTCTATAAATCCCTATCATACCACCCTGTAGAGAACAAGTTTTTATATTGTGGTCCTTTCCTTAGCTAACCATCTAATCAAATTAGCTATGCAGAGAGGAAAAGTAAAAGAAATAAAATGGCAGTGTGAAGCATAATGCCTGATATAACACAAAGTACTTGCTGCCATGACAACAAATAATTCGGAAGAATATTAATGTTAAAAAAATCAGCTATTTGGACAAAGTTGGGGTAACTTATCCATATTCATATATCACAAAGTTGAAATTTCTCATTTAGGTAAGGTTTTGACAAGATTATGGAGAGCTCCAAAATATCTCTAAATAGGATAAACAAGCTTTAAAATGGCATGAATAACTCAATGTAAATAAAAACGAAATAATGTTTATTGGATTGTACATATATGTGACAATTTTGAACTGGAACTGATTAAGCAAGAATAGAATTGTGATAAATATGTCAATAAAAATTCAACCTGCCTTGTCTTTCTGAGGATCAGAAAGGATTGATGAATGGTATGATCACGGTGGGAGAGATCGCAGAGGCATTTAAACAATTGAAGGTCGGTAAGGCCCCTGGTACAGATGGGTTTACTGCAATTTATTATAAAAAATTATTGGAAGAAATGTTGGAACCTTTGAGATGTCTATTTAATGATGTCTTAATGGGAGGACA